TGTGACTGAAGCCAAAGGACTTGATTTTGCATTCCTCCTAAATTCAGTGGGGAAACTGGGGCAGGAGAGGTGAATCACCAGAAGTTTTGCTCACAGAATGTAAAACGGAATTCAAACTCTATTGCCCCCATCAGGATTTCAAAACTGCATAACACCAGTGATTTCATTAGAGTCATACCTGATTTATTAAAAAACAGAATCAAATTTTAGGTTAAGGAACCTGTTAAAATAAATCTTTATTAATATATATTTTTTAATGGTGTAAATCCACATGAATCAGGCTACCTAGGATTTACAGTGGTATAAGTTCAAGCAAGATTCGAGACTCAACATACAAATTTCTTGGACCTGTGATCTGCTTATTTGCTAGTTTAAGCACAAGCATGAAAACCATTAGTGACCAGATATTAAGCAGAGAATAARCTCCAAGAAAATTAGACCTTGCCTCAAAAAGCCTCTTCCCAGATAAAGACATTTATTTTAAAATGGTGTTTGTAGGCCTTTAGAGCCTACAGAGCACAAGGTTCTGYTCTCCAATCTGCRGGGAAGAAATGCTGCCCTTTTCCACTCAATATCTGCCATCTAACCAGATCCTGAGGGGAAGAATAAAGGATTTAATCTGCTTCTTGCTTATACCASTGTAAATCAGGAGCAAAGCTATCCACATTAGCAGCCTTCAATGAGTATAAAACAGGTGGAAGTGAGAGCAGCAACAGGTCTATAAACTCAGCCAAATTTAGGAGTCAGCGTATTACCTTCCAGTTCTGCAGAGATTACATTATGTGTATACATAAACACACACATACACACACACCATTTTTAAAACTTCTCCAGGAAATCAGACAGAAACYAAGCAGAACATATGGAAATTTAACTGGTTGCTCATAAAAAACTGCTAAAATCTGCCAGAGTCAAAAGACATGATGCAGTCTGCTACACAARCTTGTTAAAATGAAGTCAGGTAAGAAAAGCAGCATTTTTAACTAGACTACCTGATGGGTGGAGCAGCAGTTTCACTTGCCTCAGAAATGCAGTATTTCTGCATTTTTAAAGATTTACAGAGCTTGGGTTCTTTTTTTTTTTTTTTTTTTTTTTTTTTTTTTTTTTTTTTTTTTTTTCCCCCCGCAGAACCTCGGGAGCGGATTTCTGAGACTAAAATAGAAGCTCTGGTCGCCGCTGCCTCTTTTGATGCTCCTTTGCTGCCACCACGTGGAAAAGAAAAAGGGCTGCAAAAATGTGCCGAAARAGCCTGGAGCTAAGGCCAAAAGCTTCGTGTCTCTCTGTTTTCCCCCTTTCCCAGTTATCTCTGGGGATGGGGAGGTGACCGTGCTAACCAGCAGCCTCCACAGTCCTCCATTCATAGCAGCATGGAATTGTGAGGAGTCCTGAAAAAATTTCTGGCACTATTTCTTTCATTCAGTCTAATTTCAGAAGCAGGAATAGAGCCACACACTTGRATTCTGTTGAAAGTGAACATAGGAAAGGCAGCTGAAAGATTGAAATAAAGATGAAATGGCCTTTAAGCACAAACATAAACATGAGAATTTACCCACCTTCTCTGCTGTGCTGTAATCAAACTTTAGACTTAAAAAAATGCTTAAGACTTACACAGGTAAGCCAAAGTACTAAAATAAAGAAGTACAAGATACACTAAATAGAGAAAAATTACGTACTTCTAAGCTCATGGTTGACTATTTCATTTTCCAGATGCTTTTCAAAACCTAAGCTCTGTGTTCTGCATTACGTCAAAGAAACATTCAGATATTTTAGCAACATGGGGGCCACAGATGTGTTAACACACACTGCCAGCAAAGTCACTGCAGTTAACACCAGCTGAGAATCAGCTTTTGGATTTTTTKTKKTKTTTTTTTTCCTGCTGTTGGTGGRATGCTTGAGTAGAGTAAATCATTACTAAACTTTGCCAGCTGAAGTACTGACTACTGAGGTTCCTGAGGCCAGCTGGCTACCCAGGACAGGCTTTGTCTTAAATTACTTAGAACCTCAAATTCTCTTTGGAGCAGATGAGCTTATCATTATGCATTAACTGAAGGCTTGGCTCAGTTACACCTTGCTTTTTTGCTATGGGAATATAAGTGCCATGGTATCAGATAATTCTGTAAATCAGGAGTCACTATAGCTAGCATCAGCATCTGGCCTCTTTGCATTCTGAAAACCTGTGCAAGAAAATCCATGGGAAAAAGCTGGCCCTTAAATTTTCTRATAGTACAACCTCAACTAGGTGGCAAAAGACAAACAAAACAAGTTTTTTTCAAGCTTATTTTGCTCCTGTTAAAATATTTTAAGTGGGCCAAGTCTCAGTCTGGGCAGGTTGCCCCGGTTTTGGGAGAAAGGATGGATACATTTAGATATACTAACTATGCCCAGAAATTACTCATTCACCTACCAAAAGACTTCTGTGTTATTCTGTGTATAAGGAATGAGGTTGAACCCTTAGTCTTTAATGATCTGAGTGTCCTCCAAAAAAACAGGATACTTCATTCTCCACATCCCAAGAACACCTATTAAAAACAATAYGTGAAATGGATCAGACCTCACTTTACCAGCTCAAGCAAGGAGCAGCTCCATAGCTGAAAAAATTAAATGCACCTCCCTTTACAAAACAAACTCAGTATGGCAACTGTAACCTTTCTTTATGTTTTGAGTTGAGACAAAATGAAAGTTTCAGATTTTTAATACATTCAACATACTTAAACAGCGAAGAGGTATGCCCTGACACTGGAGTTACCACTTAAGAGAAATGCCACATATGACTTAATTCAAATTTAGTTAAACTAGTATGAAACTAAATCCAGTGTGATAATAAAAGATTCATTATTAACTCATTATTCAGTATTAAACATTAACTATTTAAAAATCTGAARTAAATAAAAAGCTACATTAAAACAACACTGTTAAAACTTGCAGAGTTGTACAAGATCTGTAATTTTGCAAATACACTATGTTACAGAGCCCTGTCATCATCTGAGATAAACTGGACTTTAATTTGCAAACCCATATTCCTCCTTAATTTATTTTTGGCTTCACAACTGTGCTCAGAGCTTTCCATGCATGCCAAAACCAGAACATGAGCACAGTCAGGGCCAGTACCTACCWAGGAATTTAAGACGTTCTTCCAGAGCCCTTATCTGGATAAATTTTCACTGGAGTAACTTTTCTTTTGAATCTCCTGACAATGCATTTCAATTTTTTACCTCAACAAAGCAGAGTTACAATCWTTAGAAGAACATGGTCGGAAGATTTAAGCTGACATTTCAATGTGACCTATACTTCATACACCAYGTTCTCCAACAACTGTAAGAATTACTCAGCCTTTCTGGGTTTTGGGGAATTCACTCATGGCAGAAACCAAACATGAAAAAATCCAATACAAGCTGGCAAAATTACAAACATCTGGGAACACAATGTTACCATAAGAAGCTGAGGCACTGTATGGAACAATGAATGGTAAGCCTTTCATATAATAAGAGGTAAACAAACCTTAACAAATATTGTCAAAGGAGGAAGGAAGTAGACTTTACCAGACAAGTAAAATTCACTGGAAGTAAATATTTTAGTGCTGGTTTTGTTACATAAAGATATTCATATATACATGAAGCCAAGTTTTCAGTTCTTTTGTACTGGATTTTTGCTACTGTGCCCTTWATGAAATCAAGAGTTAAACTGACTTAAAGCAAAGAGAATTAAGCTTGTGATGTTATACAGTCTCTTAACAACAGCATTTCAGTAATATGCACTTTGTCTTCTGTTACACACTGAGAGAACTTCCTGACAATCAGGAGATCTATGACATGCAGGTGGATGTGTAATGTGTACATCCACAGACAGCACCCCATGTSATTAACTACCTTGAAGAATTGCTCTCTCCATGGAAACTTCACAGGAGAAAACGTGTTTTGTCTTGTGTGTGAGTTGGGGAGCAGATCTATTAGCCCAGGGCAACAAATTAAAAAGATTGTTTATGCTATCCAACTTGTCAGTGTTTGTTACTAGGCATTTCTCCTTCTCAACTTTCAATAATGGGGACAGGAACTTTGTTAATTTAAACAATGACTCATTTGTTCCCATGGGGGCAAAAAATACTCAAGTGACAATGAAAAAAAAGCATTCTAGAAAACAGACACGACACCGCATTGATGAAAATTAATATCCATAGCAAATGACAGAATATCAAAGACTACTTTTTCTCTTGTAGAACTCAGCAGCTGCTCATTTACTTTGACAGAAGCTAAGAATTTACCCCTAGAATTATTGCTTCAAAAGAGTACAATTGCATGCACAGCTGAGTTTCACTYCTGTCTATTCTGGATCATTGCTATGCAAGATATATCACCATAAATTGGAGGTGATCCTTGGCTTGAGAATTAGCTTGTTGTTCATGTACACTTTGGATATGCTTCCTAGGTACCTCTGACTGTCTTGATGTAAAGCTGGAACAATATAGAGCTGAATTAAATCCATTTTCTATCACTCARACTTCAAATTTGTCCATGGAACGTGTCCACACTAGACTCAGAAGAAGCCTCCTGGCAATACTGAATTATCATACTGAATTGCTTCCATCCATTTGCTGGAGCTGCCAAATTGAAATGATGCATGTCAAGGCAACCCTACACTGAAAAGTAAAAGATAGCCTCTTAAATGTTCCATTTATAAAGCTTTTTATTCACAGTCAAATTTAGTATCCCCTCTGAAATATATCACTTTACAAATTGATACCTTGCCATTACAAGATTTGCACGCCATATTCACTCAGCTTAGTAGTAAAAACAAGCTTTTGCTCTTTTCCCTTTGGTACAGCTGATGAAAACTGAGCAGTTCAAGGTCTGCTTCTTAGATCACCAGCACTAGATATCCCATCGGTCTGTACTCTTCTCCTATAGGGAAGGTTAAAAGTCAGTAAAATATAAACTGTTGGTTTTGTCAGTAAAATATTACAAGTGCATATCACTGGAAAGCAGAAATCGAAGAATTAAAAAAAAAAAAACAAAAAAACACCATTAATGCCAAGATGCTAAGAGTGCTCTGCAACACAAAAGCATTCATGTGGACTTTCTGAAAGTTTTACAAGAAATATTAGTCAAAGCAGATTAGGAAAAAGAAAATTACACTGTCCCACTGCAGAATTTAAATGCATTTTTTTAACTAATGTGTATTGTGCAATGCTAAAATGACAAGTTGTATTTACTTTCTGTAACTGATGTAGCCTAGCACCCTTTTTCTTAAAATCACAGGCAAGTGATCAGTCTACCCTCTGAAACCCAAGAAAATTTTTAATCCTGGCAGACTTTTGTTTGCTTAGCTTCTGTTATTCCAGATAAATATGTTTGAGATTTTCAATAAAACTGCAATACTTTTTGAGAAAAGCTCTGTCTAGCACTGATTTTCAAGGCCAGGAAGACAGAGTGACTTCATAAAAAACAAAYTCTTAGGAATGCAGTTCTCCAGTAATAAAAATACTGAAGGAGCAGAAATGAGTATCATTGACATGCTGACTTCCTGAGTAATTTTTAAGGCTAGAAATTTAAGTCCTAGTAAACTTCCCCTTTGTTTACAGCCACAGTAAACTCTGTCAGAGAGATGTTTCCTAGGAGCAGATCTGTAGAAACTTYGCACAGCTCGGAGAATACCTAGTTTCTCATGTCCAAGGTACTCATTTTGTTGCAGTAAAAATCTCTTTATATGGCTAGGACAGTTAATGTCAAATTTCTATTTTTATGTAGCTATTTGCCACTAACATGAGTGGGATTTTAYATCCTGAGCTGCACTTTCATTTCTCTTCTAAAATATATTTTTGTGAACTTGGAAAATTCCTCATGCAACCTCATATCAAATTCTAGTCCCAGCTGCTAACTTCATGTGCTCTAACCAACCTCCCCACTTMCTTGGTGCAAAGAGTGGAAAGCAAGAAAAGTTCAAAGAACTCATTAAATGCCAGAATAATCACTTCAATGATGTAAAAACCATTTAGCATTCATAATCATGACTTCAAGCTTCTTTCTAATAGGGCTGTTAGTGAATAACAAGCACATGATGAGGATTTTTAGTTTTTGGGGAATTTGTCTGGGTTGTTTTGTGTCAGAAAAGCAAAGCTACAAATCCACACTATGCACAGCCACACTGAATGATGCAAATCTTAAAAGTTTGCAAAATTGCATTTGCTATATCTATTTAAACTGCCTATTACAAATGTCAAATACCTGCATATAATTAATTATACCAGATGGACTTTACCTCAGTAAGWCTTAGCTAATAGCCTTGCATTACTCTTGTTTAAACATTTACCAATGAAACCTGTGTACTCTACTGGACAATGAATTATGATCCTTTTCTGAAATTATCCTTTTAAAACAAAACCTGTAATTGAAGCTCAAGAGGAAAATCATGTAATGGAAAYGTCCTCCAATCCCCTTTTAATTAACAGCACTGTTCATAAGTACAAGCTACTCATTTCCTCAAGACAATGGCTCTCAAAGCAGATGTTATCTCCCAGAAAATTTCTATATTAAAGTGCTCTGTTTTTTGCTATTTCAGACCACTTCTACCCAATTGTCTTCCCCACYAGTCCAAAGAACACCTGACCTTTTATCATTTTTTTAATATTGATGGGTTTGAGATTAACATTTTGAACCTCATGCTTTGTGTATGCAGACCTCAACATTCACAAGTCCACAAGTCTATTTATAACAGTCTAATGCTGCCACCTKCAGTATCAGGTTGAAAGGGGTACAAGACAGGGTACACACACTTCCAAATAAACACTGTCCAAACCCGTTGAGAAGAACTGCTTTACACAAATGTGTTACTTTTGGTCAAGAACACACTTTGTTGAATTTTTCACCTTAATTGAACAAAAAAAMCCCTTCCAAGTCCAACAGCTCCTTCATTTAGTACAACCATGATGTTAACATGGAGATACAAAGCACGGTCATTTCAGCTTTATATGGGCCTTTGACATGCACACTCACATAAGCAAACCTGTGGACTTGAGGCAAGGTTAGGTACCCACATCTMAATAGCTCTCTTGCTAGCTGGGTTGAAGGACTTGCTATTTACTTGGAGAGTTTATCATAAACAAAAACATGTAAATTCATACCAGTCACTATAAATGTTTCTAGACATATGAGTTTAATAAACTTGTCAATGCATTGAACTTTTACTTTCAAATATGTACTTTTACATAGTAATGAGAGAAAAATCTGCATTTTAGTACCTAATTCAATTTAGTTCACACTCTGCATTGCCTGCTGCAATACAATGCCAAGGACAGTAACCATCCATTGAACATCATTCAGCTTGCAGTACTAGATCTATATGGATTCTTTTGCYCTTATCATTTAGTCTTTCACACTAAAAACATTACCCAAACACCTATATGGACTGCTACCCAAATTGCATTTTTGTGAGCTAAATCATGTATTTTTCTTTTGCAATTGTTAATTCTTTGTTAATTGTTAAATAGCTTTTGGGCACATAATTGAGCTTTGTATTGCAGTATATTGAAAACTGAACCCACCTAACCAACACACCTCCCTTCCTAAATGACTTCACATTTTGAGGAAAAATACAATTACTTGCAAGATGGAGCAGTAGTTTTTATAGCAGAGGACGCTTTCCCTAATGAAGATTTGAGAAACACCAATAGATGGCCACACCCCTACTACTTCAGAGCACATTTCTCCAAATGTCAGAACTCAGGGATGAGTACTGCAGCCATAATTCCATCAAGTTCCTGCATGTATGGTTTCCTAATAGCCATCCCCAGCTTGCTCTTTTTTTTTTTTTTTTTTGGACCCTACACACTGCCCTTGAGGGATATCTCATTTTTCCATTAATTAGACACAGGGTCTTAAGAGTGGAATCCACAGTGTTTGCTTTGTGGCCCTTGAAGCTCTACTTTCTCCAAAGCAACAGAGGTAAGGAAATATTGCACATGTTCAAGTTGAGAGGCTGAAAAGGAAACAGTGTAACATAGTGAATAAACCTTACTAAAATCTACAAATAGGGCATTTCACACAACACTCTTTCATAAATACCACAGACTGGATAACACTGTTTGAAAGTTTTTAATATTGAGGAGACTGAGGATATATAAAAAGTGTCAATAAATTATTTTTAAAAAATTGAATTTGTAGGCATTATAAACAAAACATCACTAGTATTTATTACCAGCAAGTGCATGTCAGGTCATTATCATTTGAGTAATGAAATGTCAAACGTGCATCCAATGGCACCTTCAGATACACATTCAAAGTGATCACCTCGGAGACAAGCGTTCTGGACAAAATACAATACTGTAAAATCCTCAAGTAAAAATTAATCTGTTACAAAGCACCTCTGTGAGATGTATGCAGTATGCAAAGCATTTCAAAGTCAGTTCTAGGTGTCTGCAATTTTTATGAGGGGAAACAAAGATTTAGTCCTTCTGTCTCTTTTTTCCTTTAGCAGGAGTTTTGGAAKTATGTTCATTTTCTGCGTTTGGTTCCCAGAGTGCATTTTTTACAAATCTAGCAGCAGCTCCTTTATCAAGTTTGGATGCCTTTTTCTTGTCTGTTATTTCTTTGACCTTGTTCATGTATGTTCTTATTCTCTCCTAGGGAGAAAAAAAAAAAAGGAAAAGTATATTTCAAACCATTCTCCAAAGATTGCTGCTAAAATGAATCCATGAGTAGAAGTTCTCCACATTGTACACTTCTATAACTATAATACCTAGAAGAATAGCATTACTTAAATAAATATACCAGACCCTTTGCAAACTTGAGACTTCCCTTTAGCATATTTTCCATCACAGGCACCTACCATACCATCTGCATGACACCCACTATAACAGGAACACAAAGTTCTACAGAGATGTAAACTCTGCACCTAATTTAGAGATGGGAACTGTTCTTGCAAAAAAAGTTAGAAAATGAAATACTGAACTCGGTTTGGAGTTTAACCTACATCAAGATGACAAAATAATATTTATGTATTTGACAGATTTATGAATGAATTATACTGCCTGACTACCATCCAGGAAAAAAAAAAAAGAAAAAAATACAGCGAGTACAAGCAAAAGAAAAAAAAAGCATCTTAGACAAAATCAAAGATGGTACAAGCATTAAACTTGCAACTACCCAGAAGTCTCAGGATTAAAGTAGATCCTGAAATGGTCAAGGGGGCTTATCAATAAGCTTATTTAGGGCAGCCTGWTGAATTTCCAGCCATGTCAGAATTTTCTTTTATGATCATAAACAACAAAACCAGCCTGTTTCCAGGGAAAAATTAATGCTTTCTTGACATCTTAGCCTACCGTAGTTGTCTGGTGTTTATGGGGGCTTTTTTGACAAAACCTTGACTTGGACTCAGCCCCACAGAAGTATATCCTCCCACTTTAACAATCTCATTTATGTGCCTACTAATCCTCATCTGCTCTTGCAATAAATAAATAAAACTCCTTTGAGAAGGTACTAAGCCCCTTTAAGATGGGAATGCCCCTCTGTGCCTGCTATTCTTCACTGACTAGAGAGTACACCTACAGTAACTCCACAAAATATTCAATGATTTAGTTTACAGATTTCGTGTCTACATATTTAGCCTAATATGGCCTTCAACTGTAAGGCCTTTGGGTGTTACTGTAATRCAAACAGTAACATATATATACACATTTATGTAGCACTCTACATGATAACTGAATTATAAATCTGGATTAACAGAACACATGTGGATACTGCTAAAATAAATTTTGATAGTGTAACCCACACATTTCTCACACAGCTATTGTCACCTCTTTGAATCTGTAACAAAAGTTACAAGACTTACACTACAGAACTGATTTTCAATTCTTAGTGATCATTATAAGCAACTGTCAAAAACTTGGCCACCCTTTCTGTATCAAAAACACAGCATTAATGAGGAGGGCTTTAAAGGGTCTGAAATCATGATTGACTGTAATATTTCTTTGGTGACTGAGATGGCTAATGAGAACAGATGGCAAACCTACATGTATTAACAYGGGAAAATGGAGCTGGAAAATGTCAACATGACAAAAGAAATGAATTCTGATAGCTTGAGTGTGAGTTTTATTAATACAGTTTGAATACCTGTATGTACACAAGGAGAGCAATTCTAAAAACAAAACAATTGTGACAGAAGTCTTTTTTAATTCCCTTTCCACATGAATAAGAACATCACAATGCCTTTGGAARGAAGGAATGTGCATTCATTCAACCTTGATACTTGCAAAAGGAAAAGAGATCTGAATAACAATCTAAGCKATGAAAATTCAGTCTTTCTTCAGAGTTAAAATGGCAGTTGTGAAGTAAAATACCAACATAAAATATCCACAGCAAAAGAGATAAAATTTTTTAGTATCACTAAATTAACATGATACTCAGACACTACATAATATAGAAGGAACAAGAAACTGAAAGCTCATGAAATATTAACTGGTGCATTTTTTAATATTATACAGTCTAGACTACTGAAAAACTCACAAACTTAAAAATAGAAGTATTCTTGTTATTCAAGCTAGCTTTCCACATTTTTAGTCCTATCTTTCCTTCCCCTAGTTATGCAAGGACTACATTTAGGCTAACTATTTTACAATTGCTGAGATTTAATATTTTCATTTATTCAGGAATTAAAATGGGTAGTGAGAAGTTTTGATTTGTTTTTTCTTCAGGCTAAATGATTTGGTTTTTTAAGTCAGCAGAATTTTCAAGATAGCCAGCCTTCTATACTGTAGTCATGCATCTAAATGGAATATAAAGACAAAACTAAAGATTTATTACAGGTCGTAAATATGTCACTAATGCAGAATTACTGGACAATACACATACAACTGGTGCCAAAAAAGCTTTTAGCTTTGTTGCTGAACTAGATTCTTTACTGCTGAGAAAATGAATTGATGGAGGGCTTGGAAGGGGGAGGGGGACTCTTTCCCGTCTTCACTAGTAAATCAACCTCACTGTACTTTTAGAGTCATACAAAAGTAAGAAAAGACAGCCTCAGAGATTAACATGATTCCAAGYATTTATAAGAAAAGAATGCCATACTGGAAGTTATAAATTATTATCAGGAATGTAACATTTTTCCATTTAACAGATACAAGTGAAAAGCTGCTCTGTACAGAATCCAATTCTCAACCAAAGGTAGRAAAAAAGAAAAGATTATATCATTCATCATCATTTTCTAACTTCAGCAGACTCCACAACTTTACTTTAAACAGTACTGTTCGAAGCAAAAAAATTACTTTCTTAATTTAGAGAGCCCAGCAGGGCATATAAATAGTTATGTAACACCATGTAGCACATGCATGCTATTACAGCAACGTATCAATTTTAAATGTAGATATAAACATTTTTTAACTTCTATTTGGGCTAACCATCCTGAGCAAGTAGGATGCATGCAGTGTGAGCAACTCACCAGTTCTTGTTTCACTGGATGTTCCTTTGGATTGATTCCCTGGGTAGCCAAGTAYACTACAAGAAAAAAAMCACAATTYTTTTGAAACTGAAGGCTGCCATGAYGGACCCTATCACRCAGTCACATAGGAAAACTGTGGTTTCCACACAAAATCATTAACAAGAAYTGTTAACTGTGTCATTAAGTACCTGACAAATTATCATCAAATATTACAGTTAACAAACCCCCAAACAACTAACAAGGTTGAAGTTCCTGTCCTTTCAAGGATAGATAACAGTTTCCAGAAAGAAACCAGAACAACCTCGTTTCATGGAACAAAATTAGCTTTTCTAAATTTAGATTTTTGATTCGGAGTTTCAATGTCATTTACTCTATGGGTAGCAATCATGTGGGCCCTCAGGGCAATTACAAATTTTTAATTCTTTGACTATGAAATATGATTATTTAATGTTTGCAGCTGCCTAGGTGTTCAAATGGCAATCATAAACACTACGTTTTCATTCTACCACATACTTACCCCAGAACAATGAATTTAATGTGTACACTGAAACCAAATCCAACTTKGCTTGCTCAAGAGGATCTAACTAGAGAGAAAAAAAAAAACATTTGAGCATTTGAACATTTTTAAGGTATGCATGATTGTAACAACGTGCACATTTTTTAACTGTGAATATATTAATTAAAAAAATACACACTGCAGGAGCATGTTTTTGCACTACAAGTTCATTGAGGCTATGTTTATGCCTTATTTCCATGTCATCACAGAACCATTCATTCCCCCCTCTCTGAGTATTCATGTAATTCCCAGTTTAAGGTTAAATGCCACAGTCCCACACAGCCAAAAGCACAAAAATCCCTTATCACGTGGCTCTTGGACTACAGTTCCTATAGTCCAACATAAGTCCCTGTTTTTACACTGGAAACTTAATTCAAAGTAGTTGTTGCTATCAATAAATTTTTAAAGAAATTTTAAGTTGCTGAAACTCAAATGTGAATTTACAATCAATGAATGTTAACACTACACAAGACACACTGTGTTCAATGCATACTGGAATACTTAGGGATGTAAAGCAAAGGAAGAATGAAGATAATGGGGTTTGAAGAGGTTTGTTTTTTTTTCCCTTGACTGTCAAAGTCAATTTACTATTTTAGTCCTAMAGGATTTCCAGAAACTCTGATAACATCATTGTACAGCTCACTACTTCTAACATGGACACTGTCAAAATATCTGTGTTGTCAAGACTGTTTTCTTCATAATTTATTTGTGTAAGAAATCCTCACAGGATAAAGAAGCTCCCTCATGTGCTGGCTTTTTCTTGCCCTACAGAAAGAAATTACATCTTAGGCTTTAAATGTTACAAAACAGATGTTTATATGAAATTCTCAAGCACTACCTCACTCTGATAAAAAGCCATGTTTTGCAGACTTATGYTTCTAGCACAGCTAGAGGAGACAGCTGACGTTCTGCAAGTCTAGACTTCTGGATTCAGATCAATTCTCACTGCTGCCAGTTCACCTTCACATCTTGCTGGGTAGACCAGTTTGTTGTAAAGAAGTCTCAGTCAATAATGCGAATGATCTCTCCATTATGGAAGACCATGTTAAGGAAGGTCAGGAATAAGCTAGAATGTTCTCAACCTAAATGACTTACTCATAAGAACATCACTTAGCAGCTTGGAAGTGCATGTGTTTCGTTGTTTAGCTTGTAAGACCATCTGGATATCATAGAAATGTAAGAATTCCAAACAGTACMTGTCAAGGGTAGGAAGCACCATATTTATTGTTTATCAGTGCAATGGCTGGCCTAACAAACTCTTCTGTTTCAATTCAGGCTCTCAAGTATTTTTGTATTAATAAAGAAAAGGTTTTCCAAAGGAAGGTAATTTACCTTTTGCAAAAGCTCACTCCTAGAAACTGACATCATTGTCTTCAGCATCTCATCTACAGAACCAAGAGACTTTTCAAATGCTGCGAGATATTCATGAATTTCAGTGGGGTATTCTTCCATATTATTATCATCTTCTGACATTTCCATCTGGAAAGTGGAAACAGAACTAATAATCCTTTTCATTAAGTACCTACAGAGTCAAAACTATAATTTACAACAAAAAGCATTAGCATTCATTCATTAAACATTATAAGAAATGCCTACGTGTGAAGAGTTCTAGCAGGTAATGTCAGCAATGACAGTTAAAGGTCCTGTAATTTCAGGGGTATCTCCTAACTCCTGTGCAAAATGGCATGAAGGAGCATTACAATTTACATTACTTTAATAACTATTCAWGCAACAGTCCCAAAACAGTATTTACCGTTTATGATCTGTGAYAGAAAGAAATTCTTTGCATGTTTAAAAGAAGTGCTCTACAAATCACACTATATAAAGAGCTACACCAAGCAGCAGGCAGGACAGCTGGGAAAAAAACAAACCAAACAAACAAAAACCAACTAAATAACAACAAAACAAAACACATGAAACTTTAAAAACAAACAAACAAAAAACAAAATTAAAGGAAGAAAACCAAAAAAAGTAAAGCTACCACCAAAGAACACAAACCAAACCAAGGGGGATATGGCTTCCATCTCTTAGGAACCTTCAGCACCAGTTATGTCAGGGTCAGTTCATTTAGAAGTAGGTCCAAAAAATYCTTCTGAACCCTGTATCCAGTTTTCTTAAGTCCCTATGGGGTATTATAATCCCAATATAAATCTACCTGTAACAAAGCTGAGCTGATTTTGGGTTTTCAGAATACTCTGGCAATCTTCTCAACAAATCAACACACAGAAACTGCGAAATAAGATGTGAAAAATCCCAATGCACCCCTTTTTTGATCCCAGTATTTATACTACCATGGTATGGCTACTGCCAAGCCATCTGGCTGCTGGTTTATAATCTATTTATTTAATTCCTTTCAAATCATAAATCATTATCTTGGAGAGTTAATGTTACTTAGGAGATTTGTTATTTTGTACAACTTCTACTGAGCAACAACTTTTCGAATGTTCTAAGGAAAGAAGAGAAGAAATATGGAATTTCCCTGCCTATTTGGTGAGCTGCATTAAGAACAGTGGGAGCACCTGGATCACTGCAGATTTTTCTTCTCAGGATCAGTGCAATAATCCCACTCCCCAGCTGCTGAGTACAGAGGGAGGGAACAGAAMTTAGAGAGACTGCACTTTATCTATGAACACCAGGCCACATGGTCAGTGCAAACAGCAAACAGCTGTCACATCACTGAAGTYTGGTTCAGATAACAATTTGATCTTTCCCTGCTCCTGGGAACAGCACGGCATGTGTGAAAGAGGTTTCTTTTTACTTATATTGTTTCTTGGAGGTCAAAAAGGAAGAAGATTRCAAGGAAAAACAGCGTGGAGCTACTCAAGCTTGTCTGCAACTCCGGTTTTAACCTCATCCGTGTGATTCCAGGAATATGATCACCCAGTTAACAAGCCCAGTTCCACTGTTATTGTTTCCATAGTTAAGAATTATAATCCTACTCAGCTGCATGACTGCTCATCCTGGGCAGAGCTGGCTCTCACACTGAGTACATTATCACCATGCCAACCATGCTGAAGGTCCCCTCCCTACTCCAGGTAACCCACACACCACACACAGAACGATTACTTCAGTCAGCTGCAGCAGACCAGGCAAGAAAGCTCAGYTGGATCCACCAGACGCTGCCCACAGAAAGGCAAAATACCAATACAATTATTTCTGACATGTACAGTTTGTGTTTTGTTCTATCCTTGTGACCACCTGCTTTACAATCTCCCATGCTAGATTGATTAAAAGGGTTCAGAAACAGTGTTTGTTGTTAACTTTTAGTCATATATTACAGCATCAAAAACCCCTCAAAGCTACAAAAGAAACTAGATTTTCCCAGTAGTGTCTAACAGTTAAGTTTAGTTAGAAGGCATCTGTCAATACACATTCCCTACACTCACACATACAGGGAGGGAGGTAATCCACTCCAACAATCACCTACAGAGCTTACCATCATTGTAGWACTTAACCTATTATGGTCCTGATTTGATGGACAGGCACGAACATAGTGATAAATTCCAATTTTCTCTCCCTTAATCAGTGTATCAAGCACCAGCAAGAATTAAAATAAAGAACTAACAAAAGCCTGTAGCAAGTGTGTGTTACCAAAATTAACTGGAGCTGTTTTACAGCTGTTGCAAGGATGAACAGTCACATATTTGATATTCTTTTCAGTATACCAAGCTAGACTTAAGGAATAAGAATAGGAATATTGAATGAAAAGATAATAGATATACTTAGAAAAGTAATTTTTTTCCAAAATATATGTTGCTATGATTGGTCTTTTATGAACCAGAAAGAATKATGTTTGTCCTCATAATACGGAGTATTTACTCAACATTGTCAATTAGCAAGAAAAAGCTAAAACATGCACCAGACTTCAATGGAAAAGGCTGCCCTTCAGCCCATACACGGAACTCTTCACTGGTAAATCTGCTGCTTCTGCTTGGGGAGCAGGAAGAAATTATTAAACTTGTATTTTCTATTCACTTCAACAGGAGCTAGCAAGTTCCTACTCCTGCTGTGTAGGGACCTCTCTCTTTTCATTATACTGTTGTTTCAGCATTACTAATCTCCAAGCAGGATACGTCTCAGTGTTGGCACATGCCAACAATAAGGCAGCAGTCAATGGCCTAAARTAATTTTGATAACATTAACAAGAGCAAACTACATTAGAAAACGTGTACACTGGAAACTCCCCAAAATTGTTTCAGCCAAAATCAACATACAGGTTGTTTCTGCCAAATCAAGACATAATCACACCTGCAGAAAGACAAATTCAAGGATAGGAGGAACTCCATGACTCTCTAAACATACCCAAAAGTTATACTGCCCTCACTAGTTCTGTTTCAGTTATTGAACCCAAACAAAACTTTCCTCAAAGTTTTTCAAGTGTTTCTTTTTGTATTTTGAACAAGCAAAAACCTAAGTCAGTTATGGAAACAATGTTTGAGTCTGAGTTCTCACTTTCAAAATTTTGGGAAAAAACCAGAAAAGGACTTTAGGTTGCAAAAGTAAACCATTTACATGAGAACATTTATGCATTGCATTAAGGTCTGTTTGAAAAATGTTTATGAGTTTCCACAGGTGGAAAAATCATGAATATTCTGAAATTTCTGAAAAATTCTGAATAAATTCTCATTTATTCAGAAAGATGACTACATTTGTGTAATCTTCTACTCAGCAAACAAGGAACGCTTCGTTTTCTTTCCAGTCAACACATCAACAGACTATAAACCAGAGCAAGTAATACACACAAACTGCAAAAAGGGAAGGGAGGGAAATACCAGACATTATTAATGAAACACAGAAAAGACACAAATATGAAAAGGAGAAAGAGAAAATGTGTCATCTTCTGCAGACTGTATAAAAACAATGAAACAGGTGACAATCAAAAGCAGTTTGCTGTAGTGTTAACATGGCTRTTGATCTAAGATACAACCAAGTTAAATGTCGTAATAAGGTATTTTAAATAAAAACAAAGAAAATACATATGGTTATGCACAACACTACTAGCAAAATTATCTATATTTATCTTCCAGGAGAACAGAGACAAGAACGACAGGCCCCTTTTAAGAAAAGCATACCCAGGAAAAAGAGAAACTGAAGTCAGTTTGCAGGTGGCTTTTTTGAATAATCTTTTAATGTATCTGGTGCTTCAACACAAGCCTTAGAAAGTAACTCCCAGCTGGCTTAAAAAGCAAAACTAAACTTCCCTTCCTGCTCACCCCCACCCCAGCAAATAAAGATATAARCTTTAATTAGGCCACAACCTCTATGAGAGATTTTGCTGAAGATTCATTGTGAAAGGAGTGGAAGCTACATGCATCTGTCAACAAGGTAATAGGAAACCACTAAAGACAGAAATATAAAATGCTCAGTGTTAGCATCATGCACGTGGTTTTCATCTGGAATTAAAACCCTAAATTCAGGATAAAAATGATGTATTTAAAGTATTTTGTAATGTGCAAACAGAAGACATAAAGTTATTTAGTATTCTGCTAAATACTGCAATTCACACTTCATGACAATTCTTACATACTACTTAAGCACTGAAAGGCCTTATTTTTATACTTACCTCAGATCTTTTATTTTTTCAGATTATTTACCTAACAAAATCCTAATTTACCTAMTTAGATTAGTTAATYACATTATTTCTTTTTTTTAATGGATATTTACAGATTGCATAGAGAAAAAAATAAACTAGAGAAAATGAAAATTAACCCTACTTTGCTACTACTTTCAAGCCTGCTTGGGGCAGCTGGAGAGCAAATCTAGTACAATTAGAGCATTCTTTCAATGCCAACTCACAATCCTGTTTGCAAGAAAGATTGCCATTGCAAAAGCAAAAAAGCCTACCATGAAATATCAAGTATACACCAGCAGGCTCATCCTGATCCTCTTAAAAATATCCCAACTCAAGCCATGGTAGTTAAGCAGGGCATAATGTGTACTATATTACAAATGGGAGTAAGCCACAATATTCAAAGCCAAGCTCCAGACACCATAAAAGCCTGCACAGAGCCATTCTACAAAACTACTCATAGCTACCAGTCTCTCGCTGATGCCACTGAGATAAAGTAGTTTGAGTTTCAAAGGATTTACAAAGTTTATTCTCATCTGTCTTAAAAGGAGATGAAAATTTAAGGGGAGGGAATAATATTATAGGCTCATTTACACTTCAGCCAATGGGATATCACATGAGAAAACAGTTATCTCAGCYTGGATTACACAACCCACATTCACCACAGCCCCATCCATATCCACTGATGTAAATCTTCAACTCCATGTGTACGATGCATTAAACACTTCTACTCTCTGTTCATCAGCTGTCCCAGACGCCACATCTTTGATGACACAATGCTTTCCTCTTCTGAACAAATCCAACATATTCTGACTCTTGCTCA